CAGAGCAAGCCTTTTCAAGCCATGTCAAGTGCCACGTTAGGAGCCTTAGCTCTCTGACAGGAAATAAAGCATATTTCACCAGTACGTGTGTTCATGACTTTATCTCTCATGATCCTAATTGCGCAGAAGGTATTTTTTGAAAAGCTCTGCTGTGTTGGGGAGGGAGAAAAAGAGCCACTGGAAGACATGCATCTGATCATCCTGCATTTGACTTAAGTGAGGATGCTTTATTCCTTGGGATACTTCTTCAAATCTTAAGAATGGAGTTTAAATCTTCACTGTCTACTCCTTGCCCCAACACGCCATGTGTATCTTCTCAGATCTACTTAGCAGTTTTATGCCGCTGATTTTCTCAGAGGTACCTTGAATGCCAGCCATGCTGTGCCTCAGAAGACTGGCACTATCAGCACTTTGAGTATAAGTTTTTCTCTTGCTTTTTGGAAAAGCTTTCCTAGACATACCTATCAGTAATTTATTTCATTTTTGGTGTACTTTCTCTTCCTTGGCATGAAATATGTATGTATGACAGGAAGGGATGAACTGATGTTTATTTTGGGGTGCCAGGCAGGGAGGTGTAGGATAGGATATAATAAAAGCTCTGTCAGGCTTATAAAAATCAATTAAATGATAACCTTTAACATGTCCTCCTCAAGGCCCTAGGCACATCCACAGCAAGAACAGAATAGGCTGCTGAAGCCTCGCCTGGTTCCACATTTTTATTATTAGAGGCAGTGAATCTGCTCACTTTTCCTTGAGGAGCATTTCTTCTCTGTTTGAAAAGTTGGGGTCAGCCTTCTTATTTTTCAGTTGATTCCTAAACAGAACATAACCAGGCTCATTTAAGATCACTTATTATTGGAGGTGTCTTTTAATCTGTGACACAATCTGTAGTACATAGACATTGAGTTGAAACCTGTGGCAGGACTCTATTGTATTTTATATTTAGCATGCTTACCAAAAAGGAAATGATACTTATCTCTAATGTTCTACAAAGGACATTTTGATATCTCTAATTTCTCTCTCCAGATTGAACCTAAAAATAATCTTGACCTCTTAAGAAGTGGCAAACTATATTTATTTATAACCATACCTGAAACAGACTTAACAAATGCTAAACATATAACATAAATTCAATCAGTTATGTATGAGGCAGCTTGCTTCTGCTAATTACTAGGAAGATTAAAAAGTTTCTTTTTCATTTTAAAAAATATTCTGACCATTGCTAGTTGAATAGTTAATAGACATTAACTACTGTATTGTGATTATACAGAGACTTAGAAAATGAGCAGAATGTGTTGACTAGAAAAGCAAAGGTGATTCTACAGAAAGAGAATATGAAAAGAATGAGAGAAAGCATAGCATATTCAGGAAATGGCTACAGGCACCTAGGAGGAGTTTTGAGGAACTAAGCTAGAAAGGTAGCTTGGTACAGTTGTCCTCAATCCTGGTCACATGTGAGAATACTTGAGTGTCTAAAAAATATGTTGATGCCTAGGTTCCTCTTCAGAATTTTATAGGGTAGGGCTCAGGTTTTAGCCTATATAACGTGATTCTAATCTGAAGACAAAATTGAGAACTATTTGTGTAGTTCATGATAGGCCTTTCAATGGTATGGGATATAGCATGTATTTAACTATAATAATAAAATTGTAATATGCTAATTAGACTGGACAGCTGGATGACCTTCCGGACGAGGCTGGGGCTGCGAGGGCCATGCCTCTTGCACAAATTTCGTGCATTGGGCCTCTAGTCTGTTTACATCTTGCCCTGCTCCAAAAAGGATTTAAAGTAGTGATAAGGGTTTCAGAATTTATACTATGGAAATAGTGTATTTTCCCTCAAATATGTGTATGTTATATATAACACATCAACTTAATGTGTTTGAATGCTTCCTATTGCATTTGGAAGAAATACCCAGTTTATAATATTTTTTTCTCTAAAGCAGACTTTCTTGATCACTTTAGCCTTAGCCTAGCCTTGCAAGTTTTGAGTGATCTGGCTTCTGTTGACTTTTCTAATATTTCTCATAATTTTCTTGCTCACTGTGTATAGTACACTCCCCCACTATATCATGTTTTTAGAATACCAGTATTTTTTTTTTCCAGAGTTACATGGTATAGTACTATTTCCCTGGAATCCTTTCTCTCTTATACTCCTTTCAGAAACTTTTTATGGCTAATTCCTTTGTATTTTTCAGGTTTCAGTTATAATATCCAGCTTATGTCACCTCCTTGAATTAGTTTTTTTAATTACTCTATCTAAAACTAGATATAACTCATTGTCATATGTCACCTATTAGTTTAGATTTATTTTGTTTTCTCACGTGACTAAATTTCATAAAGGCACAGGTGTAGGGAGTGTGTGTGTGTGTGTGTAAATCTTATTTGACATTGGTTCTGTAGGTCCTTGCACAGTAGGTATATAATGCATACGGATACACAGTACAATATTTATTGTATAATTTAAACACTGGTGTGACCTGTTTAGATGTGTTTTTCTGAAACTTTGTTCTCATGCTATTTAGGTAGATGTAGTGGTGGTATAGATAAAAAAAAAAAGTTGGATGTTTTAAAAGCAAAGAAAATAAAATACTCATTCAAACTTACTTAAACAATTGGGAAACAGTCTTAGGTAATTAGAAGTCCAGAAGTAGGGGTCATCCGACCTCCCTCACCCCAAACTCTATAATTTATGATGGACCTGGATTCTCTCTTTCTCTCTTCATTCTGCCAGCCTAGTGTCTACTTTATCTTCTAAACTGGTTCCCCTTGTGTGGTTACAACAATGTTGACAGTGCCAGTCAGGGCAACATGACATTTTTCTAAAGGAGATACACAAATGGCTTACAAGCACATGACAAGATGTTCAGTGTCATTAGGGAAATGAAAACCAAACCACAGTGAGCTACTGCTTCACATTAATATTAAAAATGGAAAATAGCAATATTAGCAAGGATGTGCTGAAATTAAACCCCTCGTATATTGCTGATACGAATATAAAATGTTTCAGTTGCTGTGAAAATTTTTGGTAGTTCCTCAAAAAGTTAAACATTAAATTACCATATGTTTCAGCCATTCCTCTTAAATACATACCAAAAATAATTGGAAACAGGTATTCAAACAAATAGTTGTACACAAATGTTCATAGCAGCGCAGTTCACAATAGCCAAAAGGTGGAAGCAACCGAATATCCTTCAATAAATGAATGGATTATGCTATATTCATGGATACTATTCAGTCACAAAAAGAAAAAAAATAGTGATACCTGCTATAATGCGGATGAACCTCAAAAACATTATTATGCTACATGAACTAAGCCAGACAAAAAAGGTCACATACTGTATAATTCCATGTATATATAGAATAAATAAATCTATAGAGGTAGAAGGCACCTTGGTAGTTTCCAGGGGGCTGAGTAAAGGAGGGAAAAGGGAATAAATGATTAAGGGAACAAAGTTTTCTTTTGGGAGATGAAAGGGTTTTAGAGGTAGGTAGACATGGTGGTTGTAAAACATTGTGAATATACTAAATGGCACTGATTTGTTCACTTTAAAATGGTTAATTTTATGTAAGTTTTACCTGAATTAAAATCTAGTACACAAATACATTGCCATCATATATTAATTATACAGAGTGTCCCCAAAAATGTATACACATTTTAAAAGCTGCTCATTTAATTTTCATTCCTTTCAGGGTTAAACTAATTTGAAATAATGGGTGAAGCCAGACTAAGCTTTGAACAAAAAATTTATCCTAAAGTGCCACTAGACTTTTTTTTTTTTTTATGGGGATACATAAAAGATAAAGTTTCCGGTACAAAACCAGGAACAGTCGACGAATTGGGGCACAAATACCAAAGGAAATGATTCTTAATGTTTGTAATTCCATTGCTTTGTGTTATCAGCAGAGCCTGGACCAGAATGGTTATCAGTTTGAAAACAGGCATTGACAAAAAAATTTCTGTAGATTTTTTAAAGTTTTGAAAATGGACTCTATATTAATAAACACTGACTTTATAGTCATTCAAATTATGTATACCCTTTTGGGGACGTCCTGTATAATAAATCAGTATGCTGTAGTGATTTAATCACAGATATACCAGGGATGCTGAATCTTATTTTTGATACATTTGCTTTCCATGAATATTATCTGTTAAAAGAAGAATGTATATTCAGTTAATCAGTGAAATTCTATTTGCTATCCTTTAACATTTTTTTCTGATATTTTTTTATAAAACATCTATTTAACTGTTTTATAGAAATTTAAGTTTGGATGACCAGAGTTTTAAAGACTAAGCTATATTTCATATGTTCCAAGGAAATGTGTTAATACCATGCACTTTCGGTGATAAAATTGTTTTTCTTAACATTGTTTAAAAATGTCCTCAATATTGTTTTGTCCAACATATTTTCACATTTATTTCATAGAGTTAGTAAATTAAATGTTAATAAAATTCCTAATACCAAGGTGAGAATTACAAATACAAGCCTGTAATTTTCTTACCTTTGCTTAATCAGTCTAGCATCAGTTTCTCTTAAATGTCTCTTAACATTTGATTTTTTTTGTCATTGTGATTATTTCAAAATAATTGTTAAATGGCACTAGGATTCCTACTCATTTTCAGCTCCTATTTTATTTTTACTAAGTGATCTGATGGACTTAAGTATAGATAATCTTGTTCTCAGCTTAGAGTAAAATTACAAGTGGTTATATTTGAGTGGAATACCACTCCTAAAAGCAAAGGATGCTGAGAAGACAATAAGAAGCAGGCATTATTTGTACATCAGGGCTTATTTGGGGGCCCCCACCCCACCAAAGTAAACTTTTTTAGACATTTAGGCTTATTATAACTTTCAAACAAAACAGTGTGCACACGCTCACTTACTAGTATGTCTCTCTTCTCTGTTTCACACTTTTCCAGCCTGGCATTACCTTTAAGCCCTAGAAAAACCTAAACAGTTAACATAGTTAATAACTTATTAACTTTTTTTAAATAATCAGATGAAAAATCCATGCTGGACCCAAAACCTTCTAAACCAGCTGCTCCACAAGTTCCACCCAAGAAGCCTACTCCACCCACCAAAGCCAATAATTTATTGAGATCTTCTGGAACAGTATACCCAAAGCGACCTGAGAAACCAGTTCCTCCACTACCACCTGTAGCCAGGTAAGTTTTAAGTAGTTTATTAATTTACCTGCCTTTGACATCAATGCCTTTCTACTAGTAAATCTCAAAGAAAATTTTAAAGTATTTGGTTTCCATGTTTTTTCTATATATTTTAATAATTCCTCTGTTAAATATTAACCTTATATTCATACTTATATTCAGTGACTATACTCATATTAAGCTGTTTTTACATTTCTGATTTTTTTAAAAATATATATTTTTATTGATTTCAGAGAGGAAGGAAGAGGGAGAGAGAGTTAGAAACATTAATGATGAGAGAATCACTAATCGGCTGCCTCCTCCTGCACGCACCCCCCCCCCCCCACACACACACACACACTGGGGATCGAGCCTGCAACCCGGGCACGTGCCCTTGATTGGAATCGAACCTGGGACCCTTCAGACTGCAGGCCGACGCTCTATCCATCGAGCCAAACCTGCTAGGTCTACATTTCTGATTTTATTAGGATTATAGTTTTAAGGTAGAAGTCAGTGTTTATGGAAATCATTTTATAGAACAGAAAGAAAACTCGGTATTATGCTATAACATCTTTAGTCCCATTAAATTAAAATGTTACAAAATAGTCATGTTTCACATACAAGTGATTTTTGCCACTGTTTGATTTTCTCATTTCAGGATTAATGGGGAAGTGCCTGCCATTTCATCAAAATTTGAAACTGAGCCAGTATCAAAACCAAAGTTAGATTCTGAACAGTCACCACTTAGACCAAAATCAGTAGATCTAGATTCATTTACAATTAGGAGCTTTAAAGAAACAGGTAAGTTAACGTGTAGAAAGGTGGTACATTTTAAAACTTGCCGGTATAGTTTCCAGAAACGATTTAAAATAAATTTGTATATACAATTCGTGTGTGGACAGATACAGTGGAATTTAATTAAAATTTGTTTTAAATCTATGAAGCCAAAATAGAAAAACATAAAAGAAGATAAATAGGCAGAATATTTATGATTCACATAAACTTCCTTATTGGCCAGAGGACTGAGGTGGCTATTAAGAGTTCATCCATTTATCGTTCTGTCTCTTCAGAATAGAAAGACCACACCACCTAAGTCAGGCAGATCTGAGGATGTTTTAGTTTTAGAAGTTTAAAAATAAAGAGGTGATGTAGACTTTAATACCAGCACTAGATTACATTTAAGAATGTTTTTATTTTCTACTTAATACCAATATACTTTTCAATTCAGACAAATAGGCTTTTGTGACTTACTCTCTTTCTTATATATCAGCGGGCTTCTTTAGATAAATGTTGTTCATCAACTTTCAGACTGATTTTTTCAGCCTGTTAATCATCTTTATTAGTTTCCAGTCTTTTATCCATATTAGTTCTAAAATGGAACACTTGAAGCAGAGAAAGTCTTGATACAAATCAAAGGTCTCACTATTAAAGCGTTGTACATTGTGGTAATGGTTATTGTATAGTACTTAGAATTTGTTTTTAGTTTTTATACATTTTCAAAGCACTTTCTCATATATGTTCTTATTTTATCTTTACAGTAACTGTAAGAGGCAAATACTAATTTTTCTATTTTACATCTAAACAGAGAAAGCTAAAGGTACATCGGATGTTCAAGATCACATAAACCAGAAGGGAACTTTTTAAATCCCCTTTATAATCACTCTATGAAATATTTTTTTAAATTTTTAATATTTTAAATATGTTTTTAGTTTCAGTGTTGATGTAAACTCAAGGTCAGTTACACTTAGATTTTTTTTTGTCACTATATTGGAAAAAGTACTATTTATCAACTTCCAAAATTCTTCAGATGATTTCATTTGTCTTTCCTCTTTTCAGTTTGCCAATACCAAACCTCTGACCTAAACATGGCCTCTCTCAGGTTTTTAATTTAAGTGTTTTATAAATCCTTTTATCATGTATTTTGGGTCCTGCCTGCTCTGGATAAAGCCATATTCATTGATAATTTGTGGAATTTGAGATGTTGGTTGTATTTTAGAGGCATTCACTCAGATATGTTCAGTATGTTTTATCTGATGAAAATTATTCATATTCACTGTTAGTTAAATAAAATAAAATTCTCTTTGTGTTTTTAAAAATACTCCTTTCTGTTGAGGTTAGTGGTGAAAATACAATTCTATCAGTTCTTACTGTTTTCTCTTTGATGTAAAATACAGCTAGAAATGTGTTTTCAAAAGTCGTAGTTGGAGAAATAAAGATTAAGTGCACAGTTTTAACTCTAGAAATAAAAACTCCATGGACATTACCTTTTTAATCTCCACAGTTATCTTCAATTTTTATCAGAAGTCTTAAATTTTAATGAGTCATTTGGGGAGCTGAAGAAGTAATATTTAGAGCTTCTATATTCTGTATTTTTCTGTTACTTTGTATCATTCTTGCATATATTTCATCATTTGGTTGTCTCAAGGTCATGAAAATTACAAAATAAAATTTTTTTAAGTAAATAAAAATCATTTTTAGTTTTCCAAACTTTTTCAATATACAATCACCAGTAAATTTTGTTTCCTTTGCTACATTTCTAATAAAAATGATGTGTAACAGTGTGAAAGTATTGGTGGTTGAAAAGTTCTACTTTTTGCCTTGTTTTTGGTCCCAATTCTTAGCTTACATCCATAGCCATTATTCAGTCTTCATTAAAAACCAAAAAAGGCTTTGTGGAACAGGGTTTTGAAATTTTCTGATTTCATTCTTTATCAAATGAATAAGGGAGTAACTTAAAGATGCTGAGACTTATATATGGTCTAGAAACTAACAGCTGACTTTCAAGCTGCTGTCTTTTATTCTTTCAGGAATAAAGCTATCAGTCTGCCCTAGGTGTTCCACACTTATACCCTATAAAGTTCAGAAAATATAAATTTTGGAAATTGAGCTCATTTTAAGTAGCAGATATTTACTAAGTAAGAAGTGTTCTCTCTTCAGTACTGTTTTAGGCATAAGTAGTGTGTCAACGTGAAAGACATAGCTGCTGACAGTAGCTTATGTCTCAGACCATAACTCAGGTTATTCCTTATTTTCTTTTTATTAAAATATCAGATGATCTTAGTACGTGTAGTAGAAAGGTGTTTTACCTCTTCTTCAGAAACTGTGTTCTACATCAAATACAGCCTCAAATTTGGCTTATTTTAAATTATATTTTTGACTCAGGTTTTACATTTTTTAAACAGCATATCAGTCTAGAGACCTTTAACACATTTTGTATCGCTCAGGAGTTTTCTCGTGTTTCGCGTGCCATCTGTTAAGGACCGCTCACGAGTGTTCTCGTTTTTCACGCTCATGGAAAAAGGAGCGAATCTAGATACTTATGTAAATTTTGTTTGGTCCCTCTTCATAGAGGAAAATGTTTTACACAGTACCATACGTTAAAAAAGTACTAGGAACTTTAATTGTTTAATTGTTTAATTGTTTTTGTAAATAAAAATATTATAATTATTGAAAAACAACACCTAAAGTGCATTATGATGATAAGTTTCAGAAAGTTTTTAAAAATACAAAAATCTTCTTAGAGTTTCATTATGATGTAAAGTAGTAAATAATTTCAAGTGAAATGAAGAGTAGAAAGTACACTGTCCTTGCTATTAAAAAATGTGCGTTGTAAATTATTAGCTGATGGTCATTATTGGCATGTTTCTTCTATTAATCTATTTTCTTGCTTAAGTAACAATTGAACAGCCCAAAATTTCTATGATACTTATTAGAATGCCTGACATGGAAGTTGATATAAAGTTATTTCCTTTCTGCTCCCCCCTCCATTGTTAATCCCATCTCGTTCTGTTTCTGCTCCTATCTAGGAAGGATGTAAATTCCTGATCCTCCTCTCAGATAGGATTTTCCTGTATATAAAGGCATATAAAACACATGTATGTATATGAGTACAGACTCTGACTTTGTACATATAAGAAAAAGATTCCTAGAACAGTCAATTTGGTTTTATTTTTCTTTTGAAAAGTTTATACATATCCTCTTATATTATATAAAATAGTACTACAAGTTGTAGAGCTGTTACAACCATGTTACTATTGCTTTTTCAAACACTTCATAAAAAATTAGTTAGTATAATCTCGCTGCCACTACTGGTTAATTATAAACTTTATGTGGTCTAAATAGTTAATTTTCCAGACAGTTTACAATTAGTTTTAAAATAGAAAATTTAGTGGTAATGTAATTATGTCAAAAGCACAGATGATGAAGTATTCTTAGAGTGTAGCATATATCCTTTTGTTGTTAATCTGCACCTGACGATATTTTTTTTCATTGATTTTTCGGTAGACTGGAAGAGAGGGAGAAGGGGAGAGAGAGAGATTGGTGGCCTCCTCCACATACCCCAACTGGGGCTGGGGATCGAAACTGCAACCCTTTTGTATGCAGGGCCACTCTCTAACCACCGAGATACATGGGCCATGGTGTATTTTATCTTTTTAAATTGCTTTTCTGTGGTAAATTCTTCTTGGGTTAAAATTTGTATTTTCTAATGATTTCCTCGATGTCATTCTAGAGAGTTATTATATTAATGAATTTTCAGTTACATATATATGAGATTTCAAGTGTTATACTAAGTTGCATTTTTATACTGAAATATTTTAAAAGAATAATATAGTTTTTATTAGATCATAGAATTAAAATTTTCTCATATTTACTATATGCTGAAGACTAAAACTTGATCAAAAGGTAGTTTAATTTTAGTAACAGCTATACTAGTATTGAGTTGTTAATATATTGATTTATTACTCTGACCACTAATTTTAGTATTAAAACATCCTTTTGGAAACTGTCTTAGTGTTCAGTGAGTAATAAAAAAAATGCTTATTGAAAAAATATCTATTGAAATTTATACCCATCATAATTTTCCCTTTGAAAAATGAAAGAAAAAATCTAAAATCCAGGACACATCTTATGTAAATTTAGATTATTTGTAATAGGTATATGCTAAACATTGAACTGCTTCTATTCGTTCTACAACTGTTCCTTTTTCCTGCTTTGTAAAATAATTTTTTTGGTTTAGTCTTTTTTCTAGACATTTCTATCCTTGACTTTTCTTTCCAGATTTTGTTTCCTAGCCTGTTTGCCATGTTTCCCTTCTTACGTGTCAGAAAATTATTCTACCTTTCTCCATTTTGGTAAGATAACAATTTATAAAAGAAATCAAAATATTATATTCAGTATAAATAGGTGGTGCACATTGATTTTTTTTGTAATTTTACTAAAAGTGTACATGTTTGTCTGTCTATTCTAACCCTTTGGTTTTCCATTTTAAAATAAAATGAAATTCATTTGGGAAGATTTTCCTGGTCAGTTTAAGATATTTTTTGATAAAAGTTTTGTGTTTACTTGAAAACAATAAAAATCAGTTTACTTTCTCCCCCAATTTGATATTTCATTGTGATTTTTAAAAACTCCATGTCATCTTAGGCAGTATTTAAAAATTTAAATGGCTGGCAGAGTGACATTATGATTGCAAGAGTTAAGCAGTTGTCATGCCTTTTATGCCACGTGGACAGTCTAAATCTATTGTTATTACTCAGAGAAATTGAAAAGTGTTTAATATATCATGAGTCCAAGATGTGCACTATTTCGTTTTACTAACCTAATGGCTTCAATGGAGGACCTGAGAGAGTTTTAGAATAGTAAAATCATTTATCTTGGTGTTGTAGCCCAAAATTGGACACATAAAAGGCCTTTTTTACATGAGCATGATGTATAATTTACCTTTATTTACCCTTTCAGTTTCATTTATCTTCATTCCTTTCTATGGTTTTCTGTTTATTTCTTTTTCTTTCTGCAAGTTGCTTCAATATGCATTTGAAAATAATCTCCAGGGACCAAAATGATTGGATTGTACTTTTCAAGGTTTTTTTTTATGTTGTCAATAAACATCAGTGTAAAAAATATTTTTTCACCCTTTAAACTACAGTATATTTTTAACATTTAAAAAATATTGATTATTTACTTTATTGGTGACATTTGCAGATAAAGTGATATGTGTGTGTGTGTGTGTGTGTGTGTGTGTATGTGTATGTACACACACACACACACACTCAAGGTCTTTCACACTGTATAATGACTTATACATTAAATCCACTGTTTATGATGATTTGTTATATTTTATAATTACTTACAGACTTATAATTATTTGACTCAAGACAGTAATTAAACCAAGCACATTGGATTGCCTATTGTGATGTATTAACCTAGTGACTAGATATAAAATAGAACCCAGAATATAATCCAAAATGTGAAGGTGAAGAGGAATTAAGTGGTCAACAGACATTTAAAGGTGTCACAAAATGCATATTGCCAAACAGTGATACCTAACTTCCTCTGCCTTACCCTTTTTTTCTTCATCCCTTTAAAAAAATATAAATGAATTACTTTGACTATGAAAATTGGTGCATAAGCTGAGGGCAGTAATGATTAGTATCTTTAGATTCTTTTATAAAATAGTATAACTGAGGTGGGGCATCTAAATATTTGACAGAAAGTGTATAAACAATCAGGTAACGATAACATGAAGAATGATTCGATACCTGGAAGATTAGACCAAAGAAATCTGCCATTTCAAGGATCTTGACTGTGATTAATATCCCTAGTTTTTAATTTGGGCTTAAGGAAGATAATAGTGACAGTGGAAGTATCTGGAATTATCCTTAAGGTTTTTTTATACTTATAGATACCTGTGCTTCAAAATTAAAGATCAACTCCTTTAGGAAGGTTTTCTGGATCATGTAGAAAAAGTAAAGGCATTATACATTATTGTTTCAGAGATATGAATTACTAGGTTTCTCTTTACATCTGTTATTGGATCGAAGGTCAGCCAGCCTTTGATGGTGGGGAAACAAGTGGATGATCTATGTAGGATTTTTCCTTGATCTCCCATCTGCCTTAGATTTATAACTACCTTATAACTTCTAAACATGGTGATGTCTCAGCAGAAATGCAGTGAACTATAAACAGTGTGCATCCCAGCTACAGTATACTGTTACATGCATACATACAGTATATCAAACACATTAAATTGTACTTTAACTTCACATTGAGAAAAGCAACTGGAAAGCAGCAGTGTGGGTCCCAGATATAGTAGAGCCCTTAAAATTTGAATATCAGGGTACTACCTGAAGTTTAAAACAAAGTTTTTGTTTTTATTATATGATACAGTAATTAATTGAGTTGAAATAAATTATTTTTTATAAGGAAGAACTTAAGATGACAGCTCTTTTATGCAACAACAGCTTGTGACAAGTACAGATTTATATCTTCCAAGAACTTTTTGCTCTGGTCTAACTCTACTAAAAGCATGAACTTTATATTGTTACTAAAGTCTTATGCTATAAAATGTATCAGGTGAAGAGGAAGTTTGTTTTCTAAGGGTGAGTGTTGTTTTCTAAATGCATATGAAAAGCACAGGTCAACTTGTGAGTCCTTTAATTTAAAGCTTGCTAAAAATCCAGAAATATTTTTTACCTTACAAAATGCAGAGTTATCTCTTAGTGTATACATTGAATTTTATTCTCCAGATATTGTGAATTTTGATGACATAGCTTCCTCAGAAAACTTACTCCATCTCACTGCAAACAGACCGAAGATGCCTGGAAGAAGGTTGCCTGGCCGCTTCAATGGCGGGCATTCTGTGAGTTGCTCTTACTGTTGTAAAACGAGGACTTTAGCAGCTCTAGAATCCTTGTGAAGATAAGATCAAGGGAGGCTCTATAGCAGCAGTTTCCAACCTGTGGGTTGCAACCCCTTTGGGGGTCGAACGACCCTTTCACAGGGGGCGCCTAAGACCATCAGAAAACATGTAATTACATACTGTTTTTGCGATTAATCACTATGCTTTAATTATGTTCAATTTGTAACAATGAAATTGGGGGTCACCACAATGTGAGGAACTGTATTAAAGGGTCACGGCATTAGGAAGGTTGAGAACCACTGCAAGTAATGGGAGACAAGGGTAGACCATTGGGTAGTGCTGCTATTGCAAAAGGGAGGCAGGAGCAGGAAAGGATTTTTATGCTTTTTATACATTGCTGAGGATACTAGTAATACTTTAGTGCTAATATATTCGTTTTTAAGCACTGTGGTGCTTTTAAATTACCTAACTAGAGAAAATTTTCACTGCTGAGAGGGAACTTGTTTTTCCCTCAAGCTATGCAAATGTCTTATTCAGCTTGAAATTATGTAACATCCTGTTAATAATAATGGAACAGTAGGTGCAGAGAACAGAGATAAAAGTTATTTATTTTATTATCAAGTACTAACTTTTCCTGCTTTGGTGTTTTCTGTTTCTTGATTTTAAAAAAATCATTTAGCCAACTCAAAGCCCAGAAAAAATCTTGAAGTCACCCAAAGAAGAAGATAGTGCCAACATAAAGCCATCTGAATTTAAAAAGGATTCTTGCAACTCTCCAAAGGTGAGGTGTGCGCTGTGGTCTAAGATTTATATACTGTATAAGATTCTTTTTAAACGTCAAAGCTGTGTAATTTGAAGTGTCCTTTAAGAAATATCTCTTCTGCCAAGAAATAAAATAATACCTGCTAAAAAATTGAATTGTTAAAGCTGTCACACTATTCTCTGCAGATATATTTTTTTAAAGACCTCGCATTATTTTAAAGGCGTAATATAAGAATGTTATATGTTTTCTATTTGTTAAGGCATAGATCTATACATTTATTTTACTTTCATGAAACATATACTCATTAGGGCAGAAGCATTCACGTGTTTACTTCTTATCTAGCTTGGTGCTTGGTACCATAATAAGCACTGGAATGAGTGGTGGAATATATGGTTCCTCCCATCTATTTTATGATGTTAAGACCCTTTTCTAAACTCTTGCCATTTTTATTTAAAGGAGTATTACTACAATGGAATCATATTTAAGAAGGTCATCTTTCTTCCTTCCATTCATTCCAGGGCATTTGGCTGCTATTCCAGTTTATCAGATACCCGTAATCAGATTCTCTGAGCTGTTAGCAGTCCATTGAAATTTTATTTGCTGTTATTTTAGTGAAATAGTAAAAAATAGGTTGTCAGACCATGTGTTCATTTTAATGCCTCTATATGCACTTCATAATTACTTGTAAGTGAAGCTCTTTGGATATTCTAAATAATAATTTTAATATGGAGGATCAAAACAATATTGTAATGGTGATACGGTATTCTCCCATTATCTGTGGCAGATCTGTTTTCAGATCTCCCGGTATATATAATTTTATTTTTAATACATATATGCATACATACCTTTTTCCTTTTGGGAAGCATCAATGGCTTCTCTTTAGCATATCAATTGCCAGAACCAGTTGATCTGATAACCAAAATGGCTACTAAGTCACTAACAGTCAAGTAGCCTATACGCCGCTTGGACACCATGACAAACAGATGATTCACATTCTGGGCAGGACAGAACAAGACAACTCGAGATTTAATCACACTACTCAGAATGGCATGCAATTTAAAACAGGAATTTTTATCTCTGGAATTGTTTATTTAATATTTTAAGACAGAAAAGAAATATTTTCAGCCCAAGGTTGACTCCAAGTAACTGGAAGTGCATAAAGGGAAACTGCAGATAAAGGAGGGACTGTATATTCTTGCTTCTAGACATTCCACTAGGCAAACCATTCATAATGGTAAATCTAATGTATATTCTTTTTCTACTTTCTTTCTTTTAAAGAAAACAAAACCCTTGATATTTCTCACAAAAATATCTTAGTGATTTGCAAGTTCATTCTTTGGTGTGGTGTTTTCCAGTTGTGAACACCAGACTGCTTTTAGTATTCCAAATTTACTATTTATCTTGACATATTGTTTTATTCATCACCTTGTAGTAAAAACCTTTTGGACTTAAATGTAATATTAAATCTAAATACAAATAAAATTATAATAATTTCTATTATATTTTCAGCCATCTCTGTACCTTTCAACACCTTCAAGTCCTTCAAAACCAAATGCGGCTAGTTTTTTAACTCCATTAGAAATCAAAGCTAAATTAGAAGCAGACGATGGGGAAAAAAATTCCCTGGATGAAATTAAAGCTGAGATGATTGAACTGCTGTGCATTGTGGAAGCACTGAAAAAGGAGCACGGGTAAGGAGCCCTGGTTTGCTTCCTGGAGTACTACTTGACACTTGTGTAAAGAATTCTTCCAAATCATATGAAGTACAGATGTAGCATTCCAAGTTACTGGTATCAACAAGTATGTTTTCAAAGAAATTTCCATCAATAGTGCTTGTCTCCTCTTGGCAAAAACTTGAATTAGAAAACTTGTCCAAGTAGCCCAGTTATAGGAAAGGTACAGACATACTATTATTTAAAGCTAGACATTTACTGGCCAAACTCAGGAATTAATTAAACTTAAAAAAATTAGGAAAACCATATTGTATATTGGATCTGGGTATATCTTTTTATATGTTTATTTCTTAGAGGACTTAGATCACTGTTTCTGCTAGAGCCAAGCTGCATGTTTCTAAAACAAATGGGTTGGGATAGGTGGTTTCTAAGACCCATCTGTTACCCCTGAAAGTTTTTTGGATAATGGTATATGTTGACACATACCCTCAGTGAAAGTTAAGAACGTTTTCTGCAAAAGCCCAGTAATTAAACAGATCAAAGATGAGCTATCTAACTGAAGTGAGGGTGAAGGGTTAGGTGCTCTTTTCCTTTCTCACTGTCTCCTATAACCTCTACAAGTATTTCCTGGAATCTGATGTAAAAGTCCGTACCAGATATCATGTTACCTCTGAGCTTGAATGTACCATTTCTCCCCCAGTACTCAGTTGGCATTCAATTCTTTAATAAAAACAATATTGAGATGACTAATAGAATGTATTGTAGTTTGCAGAGCATTTTTTTAAACATCTCTTGGATACAAATAAAAATTTATCTTGAATGACGACTTAAATTATTTTATGCATATATATCATTCAGGGAGAGTATTTGTAATTTGATATATAATGGCTCTTTCTTGAATCCTTTAGTTTTTCTCTTCTGAGTTCAGCTATTTTTTCACAAATTCTGTAATATATGCATTATAAACTGTAAGTTATTTCATCTAGGAAATATTTTAAGAGTACCATGCATGTACCCAAGAATTCTCCTGATTTGTTGATTTTGACATTTTACATTTTTGATACCAGCTGTGCTTAATGAACTAATAATTACATATACAAATTTCCTGTAGGTGCTCTTAAATTAGCTGTAAAATGAATAAAATATTTATGATGTATTTTTTAATATATTTTAAAATGTGCCCACAACTAAGGTGCATGTCCTTGACCGGAATCAAACCAGTCTGCAGGCCAACGCTCTATCCACTGAGCCAAACCAATTAGGGCATGATGTATATTTTTAAACATAAAAGAAACATGCAGCCCTGACCAGTTTGGCTCAGTGGATAGAGTGTCAGCCTATGGACTGAAGGGTCCCAGGTTCGATTCCAGTCAAGGGCATGTACCTTGGTTGCAGGCACACCCCCAGTAGGGGGTGTGCAGGAGGCAGCTGATCGATGTTTCTCTCTCATCGATGTGTCTAACTCTCTGTCCCTCTCCCTTCCTCTCTGTAAAAAATTCAATAAAATATATATTTTTTTAAAAAAGAAACATGCAAATTGACCATCCCTCCACTATGCCCACCAGCCAATCAGAGTGATATGCAAATTAATTTGCATACACAGGCATGGAGCAAAGACTGAAGGCAGCGTAGAAGGAAGTCAAGCGCTGCAGAAGGGAGTAAAGCGGAGGAGAAGGGAACGGAGCTGAGGCAGCAGAGATGGGAGGAAGCTGAGGCAGCGGAGAAGGGAGCGAAGCCCGGGCTCAGGAAGCCCTGTTCTTGCAGGAATCTGCCTGCAATGGCCTCTAG